CCATGGTGAAGAGAAACAGTTGTGAAATGAGTGACATGGTTGTTAAGAAAGCTGCACGGGCATAATGTGAGGATGGTCATAAGTGTGAGGACCAGTCAAAAGTGCGAGGCCCAGTCAGAAATGACTTTTTTCAGCCCTCTGGGTAGTCCTTTTGTGCATATGGACTACTCAGAGGGCTGAAAAAGTTATTTTTGACTGGTCTTCGCACTTTTGACCAGTCCTCGAACTTACGACTGTCCTCACATTTTACGTTTTTGCCCTATCTTATCACCATGGTGAAGAAAAGCAGTTGTGAAATGAGTGACATGGTTGTTAAGAAAGCTGCACGGGCATAAATGTGAGGATGGTCATAAGTGTGAGGACCGGTCAAAAGTGCGAGGCCCAGTCAGAAATGACTTTTTTCAGCCCTCTGAAAAAAGTCTATGCACATAGCCACGCCCACCCGGTCACATGATGAGCTACCCACGCCTACACAGTCACGTGACCAGCTAGCCACGCCCACCCAGTCACATGATTGCCAAGCCACACCTCCAACTAAGCCATGCCCACAGAACCTGTTGTTAAAAAATTGAATCCCACCACTGGTGAAAGGGCCTCATAAGTGGAATAGCCTAGGGCCTCTTTCAATCTAAATCCGGCCCTGGGTGAGGTCCACGGTAGACAGTTTAAGGTTGAAGCTATGGAGGTTTGAGGATGTAACAACTGAGTCAGGTAGAGCATTCCAGGCGTTGACCACTCTATTGTTGAAGTCGTATTTTCTGCAATCGAGTTCAGAATGGTTTACCTTGAGTTTGTATCTATTGTTTGCCCATGTATTATTGTGGTTGAAGCTGAAGTACTCATTGACAGGTAGGATGTTGTAGCAGACGATTGTGTGTACTAAGCTTCGGTCAGACTGTAGGTGGTGTAGTTCTAGGTTGTCCAGGTCCAAAATTTCAAGCCTGGTGGCATAGGGGATTCTATTGCGAGCAGAGGAGTGGAGGACTCTTTTTGTGAAATAACTCTGGACCCGCTCAATTGTACTAATGTCCAATATACATGTGGATTACAGGCAGATGAGTATTTGAGAATTGGTCTGGCAAAGGTTTTGTATACCCTGGTTTGCAGTACAATGTTACCAGAGAAAAAGCTTGGTAAAATTAGGTTAACAACTCTTAATGCCTTTTTGGCAATGCTGTTACAGTGAGCTCTGGGGCTTAGATCTTTTGAAATGAGTACTCCTAGGTCCTTGACAGAGTGAGGGTCATCTAGCAGGTCGTATCCATCCAATTTGTATTTGGTGTTCTGATTTTTGTTGCCAGTGTGTAAGACAGAGCATTTGCTGGTTGAGATTTGAAGTTGCCAATTGTTCGACCATTCTGACACATAGTCAAGGTTGTTTTGTAGGGCAGCAGTATTGTCAGTGGTGTTAAATAGTTTTACGTCATCAGCGAAGAGGACACAATTGCTTATAATATGATCACAAAGGTCATTTATGTAAATTAGAAAGATTGTGGGTCCTAGAACGCTGCCTTGGGGGACACTGCTGTTTACTGGTGCAGGGTTTAATCTTATTGTTCTCTTATACTACAATTCTTTGAAAATCCCACAAGTCAGCAAGAACACAAGGCATCTCTTTCTTTGCAAAATAAGGCTCAGTAAGGTACCCTCTCCTTTGTTCTTCAGATAAAGGTATCAGGAAAACTAATTAATTCTGGAAGTCATAAATGAAATGACCAAATCCTACCCCTGTCATATTACACTGGAAGCTTTACAATGAATGGTGCAGGCATCAGGCACCAAATAAACTCTTGGATTTTCTTTCCTTGTGCTGAAGATGAAAGTTAAACTGAAAAACCGTAGCTGTGTTACAGCCCTGCCAACTACTGCGACTTTTACAATGCTCTTTAGCTCTCTTCTCTAAAAAAGTTAAGTTCGACCCCAGCTGTCAAAAAATCATGCAATAGGAATGATTATGGCATGGTGAAAAGGCATCTAAAAATGGACAAATAGGGGCAGAAACATGAAAACATTGTAAAAAGAAGCCTTACAACATCTCATTAACACAGACAAATGGACGTAACAGAATTACAGAGTTGAGACCCTGGAGATCTTCTAGTCTAACCCCCTGCTCAGGCAGGAAATCCTATATCATTTCAGACAAATGATTATCCAATCTCTTCTTAAAACTTCCAGTATTGGAGAATTCACAACTTCTGGAAGCAAATTCTTCCACTGATTAATTGTTCTGTCAGGAAATTTCTTCTTAGTTGTAGGTTGGTTCTCTCCTTGATTAGTTTCCATCCATTGCTTCTAGTTTTGCTTTCAGGTGCTTTGGAGAGTAGTTTGACCCCCTCTTCTTTGTGGCAGCCTCTTAGTTATTGGAACACTGCTATCCAGTCACTCCTAATCATTTTCTTCATTAAACTAGACATACCCAATTCCTGCAACCGTTCTTCATATGTTTTAGCCGCCAGTTCCCTAATCATCTTTGTTGTTCTTCTCTGCACGCTTTCTAGAATCCCAACATCTTTTTATATTGTGGCAACCATATGAGGACGTATTAGGAAGACATGAGAAAAATAAGTAATCTGATAATCCATTTCATAAGCAGAGGATCTGTAATGTTTCTGAAATCGAGTTAGAGTGATCCAGCTATCCAGTACTTCAGCACCAAATTTCTGACTGCAGAAAGGGAGTCTCCTTATTATTTATTTATTTTTATTTTATTTATTTTATTATTAAAATGTATATGCCGCCCCTCTCCCGAAAGACTCGGGGCGGCTCACACAAATAAAACAACAACAATAACACCTAAAACCAATATAAAAATTAAAAACTCCAAAATTAAAACCTCGTAGTTGATCAGGGAGTTTGCTGGAACAGCCATGTCTTTAGGCCAGCGCGGAAAGTGTGGAGATCAGGAGCCGTCCGGAGCTCAGTGGGTAACCCATTCCAGAGGGTTGGTGCGGCCACAAAGAATGCCCTCATCCTGGGGGTCGCCAGCCGACATTGCCTGGCCGACGGCACCCGGAGGAGGGCAGCTCTATGTGAACGCACTGGGCGGTGGGATTTAATTTAATAATTTAATAATAAAATTGAATAATAAAATTGATTATTAGCATCAATTAGGAAAACTTCAAGCTTGTTGAGGATCCATAGACTATCCTACAGCTACCAAATCATGGCTAGGTCAGAATGCTTCCTCTGTGGTTTGGTTGAGAGACTTGCGGAAACAGGAGAACAAATTACAGATAGTCCTGGATTCAATTGTGGTCTTAGGACCACAATTGAACCCCAAAATTTCTGTTGCTAAGCAAAACATTTGTTAAATGAGTTTTGCCCCATTTTAAACCTTTCTCACCACACTTGTTAAGTGAATCACTGCAGTTATTAAGTGATTAACATGGTTGTTAAGTGAATCTGGTTTCCCCATTGACTTTGCTTGTCAAAAAGTTGCAAAAGGTGATCCAGGACACTTCAACCATCATAAATGTGAGCCAGTTGCCAAGCATCTAAAGTCTAATCATGTGACCAATGGGGATGCTGCAACGGTCGTATGTGTGAAAAATGGTCATAAGTCACTTTTTTCAATTGTAACTTTGTAATGTTGTAACTTTGAATGGTCACTAAATGAACTGTTGTAAGTTGAGGACTACCTGTATATGTTATATATCTCTATAAACACACACACGCACGCACACACTTTCTCTCCCCCAGCCCCCAAGAGAAGAGCATAAAAGCAACTGCTTAAGCATTAATTCTAACTGAATGGGGCCTTGTTAAATTTATTAACGTGAAATGAAAAATCCCCAACGTGTTTTTGAACTGTCATGCTACCCAGAGGCAAAAAAATTTAATTAAGCCCCCCTCCTCCTTTAAGTACTCGGTATGATATACAAGATTCCATTTTCCAACACTCATCTTCCGAATTTCTTCCTTGCCATTGCTATCCTGCCTAAATGTCTGAGCTTCCTTTTCCTTCAGTTCCTTGCATATAAAAAACATAAATCTGCGAACACATGGTATTAAAGTGTGAAACTGAAACATCACAAACGATTCTGTTATCCAGGCTGCCTCACTTGTAAACCTCATTTAGAGAGCCATTTTCAATAGGATTTGACAATGGCACTGTAAATTCCCATCCAGAATGCTGAGATACTCAGGAATTCTAAAGCTATTGGTCGTTTAGCTCTCCCAGCCAATGGATGCCAATTAAGAATTTCCAAGAAATTCACTCCTTCGCTGCATCGCAATGAGAAAATGTTCAGTGTATGTATACTAATTTCAATGCACTGCCTAGCCCAAACCTTCACTTTTCTAAGTATAACTGCAGAGTTCAAATTCGCTTAAAAAGTGCATCCAAAAACATTCATATTAAAAAAAAAAGAAAATGCAAACAAATTGTCCATATGACAGAAGGTTCAGAAGGCGGATATTAAAGTGAATAGCTTAGAAGAAGACACGCTGACAAATGTGTGTAAAAAAATTAACAGGCTTTACAGAAATGTACATAAACACATTTCCAAGCAGATTTTTAAAAAATGAAAATAACATGAGAAAAAGTGATACAGGCCGATCCAAAGTTGGGAAAAAACAGAAGAAACGGAACAAATTTAAAATGGTCAATTCCGTGCCTCTCTGTCGCCAGCATTCCCATGTGCTGAACAGTGGTAAATGAAGCAGAATTGGGGGGTACATCCCCAATCTAAACCCATCACAAGAGTTGAAGTGAATTAGAGCACCTATATGCAATCCATAGTCATGACTTTGTATAATCATTTCTGGCTTGAATTAATTCTCAAAACATTAACTGCTGCATCACCCTTTTGTGATTTCTCTGGTTCACCATGCACTCAAAGCTCTCTTCCTTCTGATGACAACAAGCAGCTATGAAACAGCCTCTATGTAGCACCTACTGACAAGTTAGCCTTAGGGCAAATACCGGTAATCACTCTGCATATCACCACAGGGATGGAAAGTAACATCAAAGAGCAGACAGTTAGCATTATGCTCTGTACCTGTAGACAGCTCTCTTGTCAGCCTCCAGCTGTGCCTGAGGGTCGATCGGGGTGCTGGGAAGGGGAGCATTAGCTGCTGCCGAGGGCGTGGTGACGTGCACTGGCTGTGCTTTTGCCGGCTGCTGGGCTGTGGTTGCTGTCATCTGTTAAGAAGAAGCACATGAGAAAAGCAAAAGGGTTGAAGGACCAAGAGAATCAAACCCTGAGTAGATAGTGACATTTCTTTTTTTTTTATTGAAAAGTTTTAAAAAGTTTTACAAACATTTCCCCTTCCCCCTCCCTCCTCCCCTTCCAACCCTCCCCTTCCCCTCCCTCCCCCCACCCACTTCCCAGAGCAAAATACAGGGTATAACATTTGACAATCATAAGCTAACATAAGCTAATTATCTATAACCTCCTATCCCCCTCCTGAACTTTTAACTCCCCTTTTACTAAACTAAATTTAAGTACTTTATAAAATGTCTTTGATCATTCATAAGCTATTTGAAATTTTTTAGCCCGATATTTGCCTTGAATATAATCAATCCATATTTTCCATTCTAACATATATTTCTCATTTGAATGGTCCTCTAGATATGCTGAAATTTTCTCCATTTCTGCTAAATTTACTACTTTTAATGTCAATTCTTGATAGGGTTGCCAGGTCTGCTTCCAAAAAATAGCGGACAAGTGGGGAGGGGGGTTAAGTAGTAAAAAAATAAAAAAAAATTTACAATTAAATTATATATTTTCTTACAAACATTTTAACACATATTAAAATAATCACTTCAAAACTTTACTTAAAATTCAAAACATCAAATATATTATAATAACATGTAAAATATTAAATTACATTTTACTTTGCTGTCGTGTGTATTTTTTATTTGACTGTGCAGCTTTGATCAATTCTTTGTGTTTAAGGAATAATTCTTTAATTTCACTACAACGTTGAGAAATATTAAAAAATATACAAAGTTCACTTCGAACTGATGGTACAAGCAGTTGGTTACGTTCGTCAGTCCACAAATTTCCCATGACGCTGAAAGTTCGTTCAACGTTTGCATTTGATTCCAGAATTGATGCACAATACTGGAACAGTTTCAGTAAACTCGGAGCTGGCTCTTTCTTGAAAAAGTACATCTGCTTATCAAGGGATGAATCGCCCTGCAGATGAACATAAACTTCTTCTAAGGCAGAAATTTCATCGAAGAGAGTGTTGGGTGGAAGTTCTTCTCGCCATGGTGATAATAACCAGATGTTCGTCATTTCTTCTAAAGTTGGAGGATTATTGCGATCAATTAGATTGAAACAACTTAGCGTCTCATATACTGAATCGGTGAAATTATACAACTTTTCTAGGTACGCAATGGCTCTTTGATACACGTTGATGGCTTCTTTCTTGAACTTTTGCATGGCATTCCCAGGCAAATGTTTTTTACGTAAGGCAAATAAAACTTTCATTCCAAAAAACTCATCGTATTTTTTTTGTAAAGAATCACGCAGCTTACACATAATAATGTGAAGATCACATGCAAGAATTTTCTTGCTTTCCAGCTTCAGTAGGGTGTCTTGCATTATTGACATGAAGAAGTGCGTGAAATATAAATACAATTCTGAAATTGTTGGTTCATCATCCTTTGCGAGTTCATTTTCCTGATCCGAAATAAGGTTCCAGATAACCTTATGGCACTCATCAGATCCAAGAGAAATAAAATACAATTTTAGAGGTATCCAGTTTAAAAGAAGTCTTTCGACCGCTTTAAACAAACTTAACCAACATGTTGGAACATGGCGCAAAACTTCATGGAATTCTGACTCGCAAAACTTACATACCATTTCATCATAAAGCTTTTGAATAAAAAAATGTCCACTATTTTGTGAAAAAAAATAGTGAACATAATGTGAAAAAAGTGGACTGTCCGCTCAAATAGTGGACACCTGGCAGAAAATAGTAGGTAAATCTTCCTTCTTCCAGTACTGCGCCACCAAGTGTCTTGCTGCAGTTATTAAGTTCTTATAATGATGCATGAAGAAGAATTGGTTAGACATATAAAAGAGAAAGATCCAATGCATATTAAGAGGGTTTATAATGTTTTGCTAGAAAGGGATTCGGAAAATGAACTGGTTAAAGATTGTATGATAAAGTGGGCACAAAATTTTGCAGAACCAGTGATGTTGGAAACATGGGAAAAAATATGGGTCCAGAATGTTAAATTTACACAGTCGCAGAATCTGAGGGAAAATTTTTATAAAATGTTTTATAGGTGGCATTTAGATCCTAAGAAATTATCGTGTATATATCCTAATGTTCAACCAAAATGCTGGAGATGTGATTGCTTAGATGCCACATATTATCATATGTGGTGGACTTGTAAGAAAGTGAAGGCTTTTTGGATAAAAATTTGGTGGGTTATGCAAAATGTTTTGAAGATAAAACTTCAGTTTTCTCCACAACTGTTTTTATTGGGTATAGCTAAGGGTTTTACATTGGGTGAAACAAAGCTGATATTGTATATGGTGACAGCAGCGAGATTATTGATAGGTCAATATTGGAAAAGTGATGCTATGCCCACTATTGAAGAATGGACTTTGAAGATGGCCAGTTTTGCAGAGATGGCGAAGATTTCAGCATATTTAAAAGACCGATCTCAAGAGTCTTATGTATCGGAGTGGAAAAAGTGGATAGATTATGTGCAGAATAAATATCAAACTAGGAAATATCAGATAGCTTTTAGCTGAATGAATGTATTACGTAGGGATAGATTAATTGAGTTTTATGAAGGTATAAATAGTATACAGGGGGTGGAGGGGTTTAAGTTTCATAAAATGTATTTTTGATTAGGATTTTATTTTGAGGAAGTCCTGGGGGGAAAAGGGGAGGGTTAGGGAGGGTTTGGGGTTTTTTTTTGGGGGGGGGGAAACTGGGGAGAAAATGTATTTGTAAAACTTTTCAAATAAAAAACAACAACAACAACTGTGGAGTAAACTTTATCCTTTTTAAAAAAATATTTTGAATAATCCACCATATTTTTATCCAGAATGCTTTAACTTTTTTACAAGTCAACCAAACATGAAAATAGGTAGCATCAACACAATCACATCTCCAACATTTGGGTTGTAGGTTTGGATACATACAAGCTAACTTTTTAGGATCCAAATGCCATCTATAAAACATTTTATAAAAATTTTCTCTCAAATTTTGAGCTTTGTGTAAATTTTACATTTTTTACCCAGATCCTTTCCCATGTTTCCATCATTATTGGTTCCTCAAAATTTTGTGCCCAGTTTATCATACAATCTTTAACTAACTCTGTCTCTGAGTCTATTTCTATCAATATATTATACAACCTTTTTATGTGCATTTTACTCTGGTCCCTAATTTGTTTTATCAAATTTTCTTCACTTTGTGTAATACCAATTTTCTGATCTTTTTTCCATCTATTCTGCAGCTGTACATACTGAAACCAGGTTTGAATTGCCCTTTCCTCTCTTAATACATTCAGAGGCTTTAACTGTAGTACATTTCTTTCTGTAATCAGAAATTCTTTATAAGTAATTACATCCTGTCTTTGTTCTATACTTATATTTTCTATCGCATGTCTGGGTACTACCCACATGGGTATCTTGCCATTCAATTTATATTGGTATTTTTTTCAAACACGCAGGAGGGCATTCCTTAATATGTGACTTTTAAAAGTCCTATCCACCTTCTTCTCATAAACTAAGTAGGCATGCCAACCATATAGCAAATCATATCCTTCAATATTCAATATTCTTTCATCTGTTAAATTAATCCAGTCACTAATTGCTGACAAAACAGCTGCTTCATAGTACAATTTTAGATTGGGCAATTTCAAACCTCCTCTTTCACGTATATCCTGCATTATTTTTAATTTAATTCTCGGTCTCTTCCCTACCCAAACAAAATTATTAATGCCTTTCTGCCATTCCTCCAAATTTGCATCCTTTTTAAGTATTGGTATCATTTGAAAAAGAAATAGAAAGTTGGGCAGAACATTCATTTTAACTACTGCTATTCTTCCCAACAAAGACAGTTGTAATTTTTTCCATTTATCCATCTCTATCTGTGTTTTATGCCATAAGAATTCATAATTATACTTGTATAATTTCCCATTTGACGTTGTAATAAAGATTCCTAAGTACTTAACCTTTTTCACTATCTCGCATCCTGTTACTTTTTCCATTTCTTCTTTTTGATTTGTATTCATATTCTTAGCTATCATCTTTGTTTTCCCTATATTTATTTTAAACCCTGACACTTGACCATATTGCCTAATTATCTCCATCAAACCTGTAACTGAATTTACTGGTTGGGTTAAAGTTACAACCAAATCATCTGCAAATGCTCGTAATCTATAATCATGTTGCCTGATCTTAATACCCTGTATGTTATCCGAGTCCCGTATTTTATTCAACAATACTTCCAAAGTTAAAATAAACAATAGTGGAGACAAGGGACATCCCTGTCTTGTTCCTTTCTCAATTTTAAAAGTTTCTGTGAGACTACCATTAACTATTATTTGTGCTGTTTGTTTCTGGTATATTGCCTTAATAGATTGTATGAAATGCTCTCCCAACTGCATCTTTTGTGCTACTTTCACTAAAAACAGCCAATTCAATCGATCAAACGCTTTCTCTGCATCCAAAAACATAAGCACTGCAGGGACTTGGTTGTTCTTCCCCAAATACTCCAGTATATTAACAATTTGTCTTACATTACTTTTCATTTGTCTCCCTTGTATAAATCCAGTTTGATCTTTATGAATCACTTGTTGCATAACTGACATTAGTCTATTTGCCAAAATTTTTGCAAAGATTTTATAATCTGTATTAAGCAATGATATGGGTCTATAATTTTTGGGTTGACTATGATCTTGATCTTCTTTTGGAATCAGGGAAATAAAAGCTGTTCTCCAGGATGGTGGCACCTCTCTTCCCTGTTGTATTTTAGCAAATAACTCCTTAAGAGGTTCTACCATTTCTAATTGAAAATTTTTATAATACACTGCTGTCAAACCATCTGTGCCAGGAGCCTTTCCACTTTTTAATTGTTTAATTGCCGAAAGAATTTCCTCAGTGGTTATTAATACATTCAATCTTTCCCTTTGTTCATCAGTAATTGCAAGAATATTCTCCTTCTGCA